GTTTACCTGCAAAACCCGCTTTTCGTCCAAGGGGTTGTTGAATAAGATGGAGGCCATCTTTCGTGTCTAGAATAGAAACAAGAACGAAGTTTCAACAAGAGGCCCACGGGTCTTATAGGTCACCTGAGTGTCACGTAACAACTTTGATACTTAATTAAATATCTGCTGCCCAAGAAGATTTTCAAAGAAATAATGCATTTTCACTACATAATCTAAATAGCCCCGCCCTAGCACTAGAACTCTTGATCCTGGGGCCATGAATTTCACAATTTCGGTAGAGGAATCAATGCTGATTACAATTATGCAAACAGTTTGACTGCTTGATGTTCAGGAGTAAAGAAGAAGATTTTTACAGATTGCATTAATTTTAGTGGTTTTGGCCCCACTCCTCAGCCCCCCCCCCAAGGGGGACAGGGGCCATGAAATTCACAAATTTGAAATAGGCAGCATTATTCAACATAATTATGTATTTGGTGTGTTTATTAAATACCCAGAAGCAGAGAAGAAAATTTTCAAAGAAATAATGCTTATTCACTATATAATCTATATAGCCCCACCCTAGCACCTAAGAACCCCTGACCCCAGGCCCATGAATTTCATAATTTTGGTAGAGAAATCAATGCTGATTACAATTATGCAAACAGTTTGACTGCTTGATGTTCAGGAGTAAGGAAGAAGATTTTTTAAAGATTGCATTAATTTTAGTGGTTTTGGCCCCACTCCTCAGGCCCCAGGGGGGGGGGGGGGCAGGGGCCATGAAATTCACAAATTTGAAAGAAGCAGCATTATTCAACATGACTATGTATTTGGTTTGTTTATCAAATACCCAGAAACAGATTTTCAAAGAAATAATGCATTTTTCACTCTATAATCTATATAGCCCCACCCTAGCACCTAAGAACCCTTGACCCCAGGGCCATGAAATTCACAATTTTGGAAAAGGCTGCCTTATTCAACAAAACTATGTACTTGGTTTGTTTATCTAATGCCCAGGAGCAGAGAAGAAGATTTTCAAAGAAATAATGCATTTTCACTATATAATCTATATAGCCCCGCCCTAGCACTAGAGCCCCTGACCCCAGGGCCATGAATTTCACAATTTTGGTAGAGGACTCAATGCTGATTACAATAATGCGAACAGTTTGACTGCTTGATGTCCAGGAGTAAAGAAGACGATTTTTAAAGATTGCATTACTTTTAGTTATTTTGGCCCCACCCCTCAGGCCCCAGGGGGGCAGGGGCCATGAAATTCACAATTTTTGTTCCCCTAAACCCTTAGATGCTTTATACTAAATTTGGTTGAAATTGGTTGAGCGGTTGCAGAGAAGAAGCTGAAAATGTTCAAATGTTAACACAACGGACGACGACGGACGAAAACGAATAGCAATAGGTCACGTGAGTTTACTCAGGTGACCAAATAAAAACGTCTTTTCGTAATAAGATAAGGTAAGATAAAAAAAAAAAGTGGCCATCGAAAATTGTTACTTGAACATCTTGTTCTGCTCGTGAACGGGATCAAGAACGGATTTGGTCGAGTGGAACATAAATTATATGGATGTTTTTGGTAAAGATGATAAAAGAAATTACAAGACTCTAATGAATAAATTCGGATTTTAATTGGGCTGTATCAATATATCGATACATATCGATATTCAAGAAAAATATCATATCGAAAAATAACTTCCAATACATATCGGACAAACAGTTTATCTTCTAATTCTGTTGAAAACATGGGAGTTTCAATCACCAAAGATTATATTTCACTTTTTTGAAATCAAACTGTTCAATAATTATATAATTTGAAAGGAAATAACAGTTTTCATAATTGTTACAAAATTCAGAGAGAATTTTATTTGAACATGTTGATTTTGCTGTCATTAAAATTTTATTTGAAGTGTTATTTGTAATGACAATGAGACAAGAACTTTAAAATGGGTAATAAAACACTTAATTGTTATGAAAGTTATGCATTAAAATGATTTATAAGCCTTTTCTGATGGATTTGTTTTAGAATCCAATATATCGCATATCGCTTTAAAAAATATTGTATCGTATCGAAATTTCTGGCTCAATACACAGCCCTAGATTTCAAATGCAGAGAACCGGTCAATGTTCATATGGAAACTACGACTGAATATTTATCATATTTCACTCCGTAATGTATGTACAAATATTGTAATATTTCTTTATTCCGTACAACTTATATAATAAAAGAAATATACAGAAATGAAAATAGAAAACAAAAAACAAGAGACCAAATAGCATATATTGTATCCCCTGACCTGCATACACACCTAAATTCTTCTTTTTCGGCTAGTAGCTGTCTTAGTCCGACAGAACAGCTAATGCGTCACTAAAAATGCTAGATGAAGACTGTAGAAAACAAGACACAATAAATGAATGTATAATGTCATTCTGTATAATAAAATTCCACTAAAACCGAGGAGGGGGGAGGGAGCTATGGGGCTTAACAACACACCCTGCCCCAAACTATGTTTGCAAAGATAAGCGTATTATGAGCATTGAAAATTGGGGTTCAGTCCTGAAAACTCTTCCTTAGTTGGTGGAACCCCACCTCTTTCAACTTGCTTCTTACATCTTTAATTTGTTAGAGACCTTTAGTTACAAGTTTCGACCGAACCTGTACGTATGACGTCATCAAAATATGTGTTCTTTGCAGTCATGACGCGTCCTTTTTACGTGTATTTACCGGTTTTGACCTTGTAGGGTGTGATCTACACGTAAGTAGATAACTTGTGTGTTTATATCAAGATATTTCAAGTAATATTGGGTCGTTTGAATCAAAACAAACATATTTTAAAAGTAGACTATGTAGTGTAATAGAACTATATTTGTTTCATTCATTGAAATGGATATAAAATTTTATCTAGACGCTGAAAATATCGATCTTATACGTTGAATCCCTAGATCCCTTTTGATTGCATTTTACAAATATGTACAATAATACGTCTTTACAACGCATGATACTTATCATTTGAATTAAGTTAAAATATAATTTATAATAGATAAGTTGAATCTTAGGACAGAATCAAATGACCGATTGCCATGTCACCCCCTCCCCTACCCCAGGGCCCACATCCCTCTTATAGGGGACTTCTGGGAGGAGAGGCCAGCTAAATTTTTTAAGTTAGATTATCTATTTTCAAGAAAATGACCCAGAATGGATTATTTATTTTTTTCCTTTCTGAAAAATTCAAACAAGCCAAAGAAGGAGAAGGAAAAACTGTATTTCGTGAGGGTGTATGTGTGTTGGGGGAGGGGGCACTAGTGAAGGACAGAATATTTATTTTTCTTGCCTGCCGAAGATAGATTATTTATTTTCAACATCTGCGAGGTTCGTGGATAGATTTTCTCTAAAATCTGCCGGCGCCCCCCATTTTCTCTAAAATCTGACAGGACTGCCCCCCCCCCCCCCCCCCCCCCAAATATACACCCGGGTTCATCAGCTGCATCGTCTATTACACATTAATAATATATTCCATATTAAATTTTAACTTTTTATAAAAAGAAAAAAAAAAAATCACACCCGCACAAATGATCCACAGGTGCTTACATTTATATGGATAGACACAAACAATAAGTTTTTAGCTCTACCCCCCCCGTCGAATATGTCCGTCTGTCTGTAAACAATTTTTCAAAACGCTACTCCTCCTACAGTTTTGGTTTGATTTTAATATAACTTGGCACACAACTAGACTGTATTTGTCTAAATTTATCTAAAATGCTACTCCTACTATTACACATAAGATAATAATGTATTCCATATTGCCATTGTTACTAAAAATAAAAAAAATCTGATTTCAATATAACTTTTATAAAAAAAAATCACACCCGTTTTTGATTTTGATGAACGGTGTTGCCATGGTTACTAAAAATAGAAGAAATTCCTTTTCTCCTACAGTTATGATCTGAAATTTAAGTAGACTACACTAAGATACATAAAATAGTGCATCGGTTTTTGATTTCAATGAACGGTGTTGCCATTGTTACTAAAAATAGAAATGTGTGAAATTCCTTTAAAAAGCAACTCCTTCTACAGTTGTGGTCTGATGGCAATGGCTTCTTTTCTATATGGATAGACACAAACAATAATTTTTTTGATATTTGTTGTAACATTTTTGTAGTGATCTGTGAGAGGAAACTTAAAGGCTGAAAGCATGTCAAGGAAAAAAATGTTTCGTTTTTCCATGAAGGATGACATCGAATTGCTGAAAGAAGTGTCGAGTGTTAATCCCTTTTCTGGGGACTCGGTAAATAAGTGGGCAGAAATTGCAGAAAATTTTATGATGGCTCATGAAGGAGTAACCCTGGATGGAAGGCGCTGCCGAGAGAGGACAAGTCTCCTTCTTTCGTATTTTAAAGCAGATGATAGAGATAAGCTATACAGGTACACAAACTAAGTTAACGTTGTTAAATAAATAAATTCTTATCAAGCATCAGCTGTAAACAAGCAGTTATATAACAGTTATCATGTTTGTATTTTCATTTACTTTCAAACATTGTTTGTGCCAGCCCTCCCAACCCCCCTTCCAGCCTTTATTTACTTTTCTAAACCTCTATATTACTTTTCATTCAAAGATCTGGAACTGACGAAGAGTATGGCGAGAAAGAACAGTTGTTACAGGAAGTCCTAGAATTATCTGAGCAGGTCAACTTCAAAACTGAAAAAGGCAAAGATGAAAGCCAAAAAGCGCAATTAATACGGAAAAGGGCGATCGAAAACATGAAAACAGGTATTTGTATATATGACTTGAATTTTTATACGCAGGCACTTTTATATTCATGTTTACAAATATTTTTTTTAAGTTTCATATTGTTTTTAATTTTTTAGCTACCTCTGATGAGAACGATGACAGTCAGTGTTCAGTGAAGAGAAGAAAATCTAACACTATGATCGACTTCCTCACTCATAAGACTGAGAGCGAAAACAAATTGAATCAATAAAAAATTGAGCTAGAAAAAAAGAAGCTGGAGTTAGATGAGAAAAAACAGCAGCTGGACCAAGAAAGATTCCGGTTAGAGAAAGAGGAAAGAACTGCAATGATTGATTTATTCAGACAGTTAATCGAGAAAAAACAAAACTAACTGTTTAATTGTAGCCAGTATTTATTAATAGCATTTAACTTTTTTCATTATGTTAAAAATGAGAGCTAATAAACTTTTACTTTATCTGTTGTTAATATATTGTTCTAAAGAAGGAGGGCGAATTCCGAAGTAATCCGTCGTAGGACTCCCGTACAAACAAGTGTGGCAGTTGGTTAGAAACGCTCCCACAGCGTAGTACTTTCCGACAGGCTGGAGGTATAGTTTCAAATTTTTCTTGTAATCAAGAAATGCAAATGTCTGAATCACTTTGTTAAAGCCCCATTCCACGCATTGTCTCACTGCAGACATCTGCCGGTTAAATTCTGCTTCTTCTGGACTCACCCGAATTCCCTTGACCGGCCCAAGTACATACTGGTTGACGGCATAAGCTGCGTCTCCGTACAAGCAGTGCGGTTCACCGTTAGGGGAGTTCATGTAGCGTACAAGTTCGTCTCCAAGACCACTTTCCCTGAAAACCGCTGCATCGTGCCGTTTACCTTCAAAAGGCCCAGCCAAATTTGCGATCAAACCATTTGGTGTGACTACTGACTGAAATTTTAAACCATGAATCCGTTTATGCCCTGAAAAAAAAGTAATATAATTTTGCATACATTTCTCCATTTTCGATTTTGATTGTGAAAACTTGTTATAAACATGCTGCATGTAGTATTTATACCATATTTTATACATATATATATAGAGAGAGAGAGAGGAGAGAGTACCAGAATAAGTGATTTCTTGGAAACGGGAAGGACGCGTGATTGGGCGCAGTGTACCATCAATAAATCCCCAACAGTTGGGCAGGGGACAGAGATTTCCCAAAGTTGTCGTGAATTCTGGTAAACCCCTCTGGATCCATCTCTGATTCAGAGAATTTAAGCTGTTTCCATGCGTGGCATAGATGAAATCCAGCGTCTGAATAATTTGAATTATACAGAAATGTATATATTTTTTTTAATTAAAGTGAACCAGACCGAGGATAAAGTACTAGTACATGTATTAGAATTAGGAGACATAATTCATACCGAATTAAAGATGAGACTAAGTTCAGATTCACTCCTTCCAAATATTGGAACTAAATCGGCTAATCTGTTTCGGTAGGCAAATCTTCTTAATGTGATACAAAATGCCTCAAGTCCAGTAGCTATGCTGTTATTTTTGCACACAAATTTGCTGGGAATCCTCAAAGTATTTATCATACGCCGAACATCACATTTGCTGAATCTACATGGAACATAAAAACTTCTTATACAGTAACTAGAATTAGGACTTCTGTAACCTAATTTTTAAAAAGTCATATGTATTGACAGCCAGATATAATTACTCATTTACAAAGGTATTAAAATCTAACCTGAATAAAGAGAAACATTGTTCATCACTTAAGGCAGAAAAATTCAATCTCGGTCCGTCTGGCATTAGCTGAGGGGATTTATTATGACCTATTTCGGACTCTAATATGAGGAACTCGTCAAAATTCAACAGCCCCTCATCAAGCAAGAAAAGTAGATTTTCAATACTGAAAAAAGTAAGAAATTATGAAAACATGTAGATATTCAAGATCCAAAATTAGAATTCCTGTTTTACTTCAAAACTTAAAAAGTTTTGTGTATTTTTTTTAAATTTTAAATATACGCTAAAATTCAGAAATAATTTCTATTTTCCTCTTTCATAACTTTTTTCAAGACTTATAAAGTTAATTTGTTTAATGTTTACCTCAAATCTCCCATTCCTGAGGTTTTGACGTCTGCTACAAGCACTTCCGGTGTTACGCGTAACTAAAGTAATTTTTAGCTCACGACGAGGAAGTAAACGTGTACGTGTAGGTTACACGTACACGTTGCAAATCTCTTGTAACTAAAGGTCTCTATTGAATACATGTACTAGTACATGTAATTCGAATCTCGAGAGCAAACTTTGCCAATCCACCGGTGTGAACACTTCACATATATAGTTGTAAAGCCATGAAGCTTTGGTATGGATGTGACAATTATAACCATGGTATCAACTTCATAGCCACCTGATGATTTTTATACCCCTAGTAATCGTTAAAAGTAGATTAAAAATAATTTCTAAGCACAGTTAAGTCTGCACTTAATAATTATATCGCGTAACGTTTCATCGAGGCCGAGTCCCGCTTGGCGCAATGGTTAGAGGGTCTGCTTTAGAGTCGCGAAGTAAGGAGTCAATCCTTACGTCGCGGATTTGAATAGACCGTATAAACCGAGGTCCCGTTTCGCAGATATTTTTCCCGCACATCTTTTCTTCCATCAAAATTGGTCCCCTTGTTCAAGCTCTAGACAAGCTGCTTTTGTCATCGCTCTGAAACAAGACATATAAATCAAGTGTTAAAAAGTATTAAATAAAGAATGGAATACTAGCAATATAATTACTTAATTAACACACTAAGAAATATAGATGAAAGATCTTTAAAGTGGAATAAATGTACCTTGAAATAGTCCACAGCAAAATAGAAGAGCTTTCTTGGTCCCAACAAGCTATTATAATCCTCCTAATCATCATCATCGTCGCAAACCACAGTCAGAATGTACGATCCTCTCCCATTCTGGCCGTGGTTGAACGAGGAGAGAATTCTTCGTAGCTCATTAAAATTTTGACCAATGCGAGTAAAGCATAGTCGGAAGATGAACTTTATCGCGACCTTTCAATACTCAGTATCCAGTCGCAGTAAAGGAAATATTTCTTGTATACTGTTGACGTCAGTTGTTGATTTCAATTGCAATGGAAACAAAACTTGTCACTGACTGAATATGACGTCACAATAGAGAGGCGTAAATATTCAAGATTACGACACTTTTTGTGATCAAGCAGCCACGGGTAGGAGAGAGCTATATGCGGACTCCGGACCGCGGCTTGAGACGATGCATCATCATATTCACTGGCGGATTTAAGGGGGGGCGTGGGGGGCGCACGCCCCCCCCTAAAATTTTCAAAGAATGATGTGGCTAATATTTATAATGCCACATTTTGGTACAAAACTAACCAAATAAGTGTTATTCTGCCTGGTTTTATTCTTAAAATACACAAAAATCCAGGAGCTTCCGGGGGCTGCGCCCCCCGGACCCCCACTATTCAAAGTATGACATGACTAGTATTAAACACGTCGTACTTTGGTACATCACTAACCAATACCAGTATTAGTAAGTAATAAGTAAGTAAATCGTTTATTATATAGTGGCATGTGTTAGAATACAATGAGAATTGAAAAACATTCAATACATTTATTATTCAAACATCCGGACCTATATGCTATTTACTTTTACCAGAAATAATTGAAAGATATGCACTATTATTGTACCTGGTTTTACTCTAAAATACACGAAAATCCAGGAGCTTCGCCCCCTGGGCCCCCACCAGGGCTTCGCCCTGGACCCACTGGGGGCCTTAAGGCGGCCCCCAGACCTCTTGCCTCAACAAAGTTATCCACGCCCCCCCTAACCACAAATCCTGTATCCGCCCCTGATATTCATCAATATTATCATTCTGACCGACATTTAGAAGCTACAAAAATGTCAAGTTGTAATAATTATATAAATATTGCATGTAGTTGAGTGTAACATTGAAAATTTTCACCCCAAGAAAACCATTTTCAACCGAGGCGCAGCCGAGGTTTACAATGATTTTCGAGGGGTGAAAATTTTCAATGTTACACTCAACTACATGCAATATTTATTATATTATGCTGAATGTTTTATACAAATACATATTACAGTGAACCGTGCGCGCATAAATTCCGCGCAGTCGCTATTTTTAGCTCTACTGGTCAGAGACCAGAAGAGCTTCTGCGATAGTAATGCGTCCGGCGTCCGTCCGTCTGTCTGTCTGTAAACAATTTTTCAAAATGCTACTCCTCCTGCAGTTTTGGTCTGATTTCAGTATAATTTGGCACACAAGCAGACTACACTAAGATACATAATTCTGTGTATCGGTTTTGGATTTTGATGAACGGTGTTGCCGTGGATACTAAAAATAGAAATTTCTGTGAAAATCTTTCAAAATGCTACTCCTCCTACAGTTTTGGTCTGATTTCAATATAACTTGGCACACGAGTAGACTATACTAAGATACATAATTCTTTATATCGTGTTTGGATTTCGATGAACAGGGTTGCCGTGGTTACTAAAAATAGAAATTTCTGTGAAATTCTTTCAAAATGCTATTCCTCCTACAGTTTTGGTCTGATTTCAATATAACTTGGCACACAAGTAGACTACACTAAGATACATAATTCTGTATATCGGTTTGGATTTCGATGAACGGTGTTTCCGTGGTTACTAAAAATAGAAATTTCTGTGAAATTCTTTCAAAATACTACTCCTCCTACAGTTTTAGTCTGATTTCAGTATAACTTGGCACACGAGTAGACTACACTAAGATACATAATTCTGTATATCGTGTTTGGATTTCGATGAACGGTGTTGCCGTGGTTACTAAAAATAGAAATTTCTGTGAAATTCTTTCAAAATGCTACTCCTCCTACAGTTTTGGTCTGATTTCAATATAACTTGGCACTCAAGTAGACTACACTAAGATAAAAAAATTTTTTAATCCGTTTTTGATTTCGATGAACGATGTTGCTGTAGTTACTAAAAATAGAAATTTCTGTGAAATTCTTTCAAAATGCTACTCCTCCTACAGTTTTGGTCTGATTTCAATATAACTTGGCACACAATAGACTACACTAAGAGACATTATTCTATATATTGGTTTTTGATTTCGATGAACGATGTTGCTGTAGTTACTAAAATTAGAAATTTCTGTGAAATTCTTTCAAAATGCTACGTCTCCTACAGTTTTGGTCTGATTTCAATATTACTTGGCACACAATACTACACTAAGATTTACAATTCTATATATCGGTTTTTGATTTCGATGAACATTATTGCTTTGGTTACTCAAAATAGAAAATAGAAATTTCTGTTAAATACTCTCAAAATGCTACTCCAAATACATGCAGTTTTAGTCTGATTATAATATAAATTAATGTGACATGCAGGTAGACTTCACTAAGCAAAGTCATAGAGACCTAATCAAGGATCATTATTCTATTTCTTGCAGTGGTAAAGTTTCAATTCCCAACTGCTTAATAGTTTTCTCTTCCTTTGCTATAAGTACAAACCAGTAGAGCTTCAGTCTCGACAGAGACTTCTGGTTTGGAATACCACCCGTCGTTAAGCAATGTTGACTGTTGCTACGTAGGAGGACGTGGCTTCATTATTCAGCGGGTAGTAGTGTTTTTAGCTCTACTGGTTAGAGACCAGAAGAGCTTATGCGATAGTAATGGTCCGGCGTCCGTCTGTCTGTCTGTCCGTCTGTCTGTAAACAATTTTTCAAAACGCTACTCCTCCTACAATTTTAGTCTGATATAAATATTACTTGGCACACAAGTACACTACACTAAGATACATAGAATAGTGCATCGGTTTTTAATTTTGATGAACGGTGTTGCCATGGTTACTAAAAATTGAATTTTCTGTGAAATTCCATAAAAACG